AGCCGTTGTGACGTGAAAGAGTAACAAACATACAGCCATGCTCACAAATTTTCCCATTTATAATATTAACACCTCCAGGTAAATTTCTAAGAAATTAATTAAATTTCTAAGAAATCTATTGTTAACTGACACGCCGGCGTGTTCGCGGTCGTGGAGGGATTATGCTTAGATAATAAATCAATTGTATGTCGTTAAAAAATAAATTATGTAGATGCCATTATAAAAAAATATCACAATAAATAATATTATTAGACGAAAGTTTGCAAAAAATAGGTATTATATTTTTATATAAATATTTCTTGGAGTAAGAAAGCTTGAATACTTTAAGTATCTAATTTGCGAATTTTGAGCTCCCTTAAGGCGATTTACGAAGCAATTTGATCAATTATTTTGATTCTCAATAAGGCGTAATCTTCAAAAAGTATTGGCTCATATTGAAAGTGAAAATAAGCAGATAATTTGTTGGAAGTCAATATAATATTTTCTCCATATAATTTATAGAAAAATATAAGTGATAGAAATCATAAACGTATGTGTGAGATCTAACTTTAATAATAATTATAGTATAAAATTTATGTATGTATTCAGCCCTTTTTAACGTCCCACTGCTAGGCTCGGGCCTCCCTTCAATACGAGGGGATCAGTCCACCACGCTGGCCAAGTGCGGGTTGGCGGACTTCACATGTCTTTCGAAAACATGCTAGGTTCTCTCAGACAAGCAGGTTTCCTCACGATGTTTTCCTTCACCGTAAGACAAGTGGTAATCATGTTAGAAAAGATTCGCACATGAAAATATCAAAGGTGCGAGACCTAGGATTTGAACCCGCTTCACTCAGTTTCCCAAGCAAGCGCGTTACCATTGGGCTACCATTGCCTTTTTATAGAATTTTTAATAATTTTAAATATAACGGTCTTTTCGGATTATTTAGCGGATTTATTTTGATGTTTGGTTGTCGATGTTTCGAATGCTAGTATTGCTGCCACTGCTGTACTTCTGCTAACAGCTGTACGTTTTGTAACAAGTATAGAACGCCTTTAAGACGTCTAAAATATTAGTCTTTCCCGTGACCATGATTGCTGTAAAGCATTCAAAACGTCGGGAACTAAAAATCAAAATAAATGACAATGGTTGAAAAGACAGTTTTATTTTAAACTAGCAGAACCCGCGGGTTCGCTCGCGCTAAAACTACAAAAAAAAATCTCTAAAAAGGTATGTTTCATACAAAATTTTAATTCCCTTATGATGAATTTCGAAAAATGCTAAAACAAGTATTTCTTTTAATTGTATTGAAGAGCATTAATACCAAGTTTCAAGTAATTCTGATAATATTTTTTTTTGTTTTGGTTATATTATATCGTGTTTTCCCGTGGGAGTGAGATAATCTCCGGCGATAAAAAGTAGCCTATGCCACTCTCCAGCCCTCCAACTATTTCCTCCAACCACTCCGTTTCGACGTGAAAGAAAGAAAAACAAACAAACAAACCCACTTTCACATTTATAATATTAGTATGGATGTCAAAAAAAAAGCATTATAATAATTTAATAAAAGTAAGAAACAATAACCTTTTTCAAATACAAAAAAAAAAATGTTTACAAAATATTTGTATAAGCTTTTAGAAACATCTTTAAAGAATTAAAATGTTTTTTTTCTGTAAAATCACCAAAGGAACAACGCGGATTATATAAAAGAGGAATCATTTTGTCTCGTATTTTTGTCTAATTAGGGCCAGAAGCGGCGCCAGCTCGCAGGCCACTTCACATTGCGCTAACAATCGTTCGAGCTGCCTTTAATGCCAATTACCTGTGCTATATTGTTCTCAGCGTCAAGTATCACTTAGGGATGCCACCTGGACGGAATTTATATAAAGATTTACCTCTTTATGCGTATGTGTATAATACATTATTTGAATTGGTATTACTTTAAATATTATTATACAATAACTAAACAGAACACTTTTAGTTATTGATTTTAGTTTGCTTACCTATTATTACTAATTTACATGTAAGTCAAAAATGTCAACCCTATTGTACCTTCTGGCTTTATAACGTGAAGAGAGATTCAGTCTGCTCACTTTATGATAAAAACCCCCTTGTGAATTAATCAGCGCTTTGCTAGGAATTGAGTGTTTAAAATGCTAGCTCCTAAAACGTTTTTAGTCTAGAAAAGGATACTTTTTAACTGGAACACGATTACTTATTATTTTATTAATTTCCTACAAAAAATGTATAAGGCGATATAAATTATGATTATTATTGGATTTAATTGCATATTTTTCATTTGTTATTTACCTTTGATACCGATACTTTATGATAATATGACTCTAGGAAGCAGTAAATTGTAGAAAATACGCAACGGAACGGGACCGGCAAAGCGACGGCGAAATTAATTTTACATGATGAATGATGAACGATGACGATGCAATTTACAACTTCCACTGAAAATATTACCTTATTTGCGCCGTAAACTTTAATTTGATACAGAAAAAAAGCAAAAGTCAGATCGCAAGAACTTTTGCGTTTTATTGTCTTAGTAGGATAAAAAATATGATTATATTATTACTAGCATTGCCCGCGGCTCCGCCCGCGTTCAGATGACCAAAAACTAAATTCTTAGGTGTTACATATTAGTATACTCTTACATTGCAGTTTTTGTATTTTTCCTCAGAAATAAGATATTTTCCCGCGGTAAAAAGTATCCTAGGATCGCGCGCTACATCGCCCGGTTTATATAGCTTGAGCAGGCGGTCGAGCGATGCGGGGCAGAGGGGATGGACTCGCCGTAGGCATCTCAATGCTCGCCAAGCATTAAAAATGTTTCGCTACTAATTACTTCTAACAACGATATCTCAAAAACTATTCATCTGATTGATTTAGTGTAAAGAGCAATTTTAATCTGCATTAAATGACTAAGCTAACTAAAATATTCATTTGGATAAGGATTAATACCGAACTAAAGAAAATAACTTTGAAAATAACGTAATGTTTTTAATTAAAAATGTTAACATAAAAGTGGTTATTGTAAGTCAACCGTAAGAGATAGAGATATGCTATCGCGGACTTTTTTGTAGCATTTTTATAGATTTTGAATTCTCTAGTACATTACTTAACTGTATCTTTGCTAGTTTACGCGGCGTTCGCGTGGAAAGTTCCCATTTGGCGAGATTTTTTGCGACCTCTTCAACATTTGTCGCCGTATTTCAGCTAATTTACATAAAAGCATAATAAATTATATACCTAAACCTTCCTCAAGAATTACTCTTTCTATTGTTGAAAACCGTATAAAAATCCGTTCAGTAGTTTTCGAGTTTATCGCGTACAGACAGACAGGAGGACAGACAGGAGGACAGAAAGACGCGGCCGGGGGACTTATTTTTATAATAAGTATAGATAGATATTTATAATATTTATAGTTAAAATTCATAAAAATCAGATGTGAATAAATGTTTACAATTAATATATATACAATAATAATGTTTGATGCATAATACTATTTATTTATTTTTTGTTTTTTTTTTAATATTTGCTTATTCATTTATTTATATTTTTTTTAATTTTTTTTCTTCGTGACAAGCATAGTTTATACAAAAACTGTACATATATCGTATGGAAAACCAGTTAATACAAAATAATATAACTAAATTAAATAAAAAAAATAAAAAAAGAAACCCGACCATCTTGGACCGATTTTCATCAAACATAGCTAAGAACACTCCCGACTAATTCAGCTTTCAAACAAAAAAAAACAAAATCAAAATCGGTTCATCCGTTCGGGAGCTACGATGCCACACACAGACAGTTTAAAAGTTTCATGAAAATAATATTTTAAATTTAAATAATATGCGTTTGTACTGATCAGTTGAATTTATCACTAACTCTTAATTTTAAAATATTGTCCTAACTGAAATTATTATGTACTTACATAACTCAACGCTATTTCATTAGAGTTGCTAAATACCTGGTTAACTTATACTGTAACCTGCAGAAAAATCATAAACATATATATATATATATGTATATATATATATATATATATATATATATATATATATATATATATATACGTCGAAATAGAAGCAAAGTGTAATCCTTTAATGCATATTTTAGAATATCATGTTAACTCCTTCAGGTAAATGGCATCAAAAGATTTTCCTGTATAAAGAGTGCTTATATTCACTACGGACATTGTAGCGGGATTATCCCGACCAAACAAACAGCCGTTCTCGTGCTTCGACGAACTGAAGGCAAACGTGAACTATGCTAACGAAAAGATGATAAAACCTTTATCTTATTACGAATGTGCCGTTACAAAAACACTGCCCTCTGGAAAATACTCGCATTTAGCTTTCCAATCCTGTTTCACTGATTAAGGTATCACAGAATACGTCGGGACTTAATGAATCGTTTTATTTTTATTTTTATTTTTAATCTGCTTTCGGAAATCATTAACAGCATTACAGCAAGTCTGAAGTAGATATTGGCGTCCAATGTCATTTGCTTCCGTAAAAGAATACTGGGAATAAACCGTATATTTTTAAAGGCTTTTCTTGTCGGCTCGTAAAGAATGATCCGGTGTCTCGGGCGGCACCATTACTTCTTGTGGCACATGAAAAATTCATACAGATGCCGTTTGATCGCGTTAACGCGTCGTGGCGTCGCGCGCGCACTCTTGGGGTCTCTCGGAATGGCTTATAGCGTTCGCACCTTTGTTTTACTTGTCTAAAATATAATGCATCTTTAAAAATTTTATCGAAATCAATACGTGTACATCTTTTATTATTATAATTTATTCTTGAAAGTGGTTTTTAAATCACTTTTCCTTTCGATTTGATTTACTTTATACTACCTATCTGATGATAAACAAGAGCGGGATAGTGAAACTCTTCATTGGGTACTAGTAAAATATGCATGTTTGGACTCATATAGTTTTATTTAAATCTTATGGTTTTTGTTTTAAAAAATCTAAATTTATACTTTTATTTACATATGGTCTTTGTTTCAGTGGACTTGCTGCAAATGCTGGAATTTAATGTGACTGTGTCGTTCCCAGCGGCACCACTTCTTACTGTTATTTTGGCGTTAGTGGGTATGTATATATTATTATTTATGCTCAACACAGAATGCATTTATATGCTTGGAAACGTATCGCAGCGTCTTACATTTAAGGGCTTAGTACCTGTTCGACCGCTAGGCATTTTTGGGAAACGATATATAACAAAAATTGTTTTTTTTTTTTTAGAAAAGACACCTGTATAAATAAACTTAATAAGTAAAATCTTATCTAAATACGAACTAAATCGTAAATGCCGTTTCCGAGCTTGGCGGAATAAATTTATATAAATACAAGAATTGCTCGTTTAATATAATAATATATATATCAACTGTACTTTAAGAACCACAAAGTCTACAAATTACCATTTCCTGCTGTAATAATTGCAGCGATCTCTACCGCAAAACGCGACATGCAAACTTGTCCTATAAATGAAGTCGCATTTAGTACGCAAAGGGAGCTTTTAAGGTTGCAAGACGTTTGACACTCTGAAATTCGCGCACGTTTGCACTTTGAAACTGCATGAACTATTGTAACCGGGAAATCTTGCAACGTTTGAACTCGATAAATTAAAATGTCTTAACTTATAAAGATGCATACAAAATAAATTAATAATTTATTTATCTACATATTACCTTTATATTTTATTGGGGCTATATAAAATGGCATACACATGACAATATGACGTTATAAAAATATGATCGTGACAATACGACAACGTTTCTTGTTTCTGATTTGTTTTACTATTTACTAGCATTGCCCGCGGTTCCACCTGGTTTCAGATGACCAAAAACCAAATTCGTTTTACAAATTAGTATACCTACTCTTACATATACCAATTTCATTTGAATGTGTACATACTATCATCGTGGTTTTATTCTAACCATTTTTCGTATTTTTTTCTTAGAAATGAGATATATTCCCGCAATAAAAAGTATCCTATATGTTGACCCGGATAACCAGCTATGACCAAATCAAATTTCATCAAAATCCAGTGGTTTTTCTGTGATGCGGTAACAGACAGACATACAAACAGACAAAAATTCAAAAAACTGTAGATTCTGCCTCCGTATCGATAATAATGTCTATTACAATAAAATTTTCAAAAAAATATTTAATGTAGAGATTCGACTTACTTACAATTTTATTACATGTATAGATGAGCCATATAGTGATGTTAGTTTGATAAGGATGCCGCATTCAGTGCTACTCTGAAGTAGTTGATTACGTTTTATAAAGAAATTCTTCTATTTTGGCGTATCCTGTAAAGCCTTAAAGTCACGTGTGTAGTGCCTTCATTGAGACGTTAGTAGGTCGGTCGATTCAACAAGTAAGTCGGGCGCGTCGCCTGTTGCGCGGTAGGGCGGGGCGCCTGTTGCGCCTTATAGACGCCAGCCGCCCACTCAACTAGCTTATGATCATGTTCCTTAATATTTGTGACCTATTTTTATCAAATTATTTATTAGTATATTCCTTTGTATAGTAACATTTTGACCCCAAGATATGTTATCCACGATAAGTAGATGACAACGATCCCAACGACCCATCCATTGAAGCTTGGCCTGTGTTTTATATGCAGGCGTTTGCTCTTACAGATCAAGGATTTCTGGTTGGCAGGATTCCGTGACAAATAACCGACATCGTACCTATAAAACCACCTAATAGGTACACATGAATGATTCATGTTTTGAAAATAGGTAAAGATTGTTAAAGGGATGCTATTTGATTTTTAAATTAACAATTATAACGACACCATGCACATAAGCTCATTTGAGCTTTTTAATTTTTTATACCTATTTTTTTTTGTAAAACTTCCTCAGATAAAAGGACGACTGTCTTACATTATTTGATTTTATACCCACAATGGGCCATTCGAATATACACCAGTAACTCCCATATACATATTAAACTTATTTGGAAAGTTACGATCTACATTGGTGCTGAGATATTCAACTTTTTTACGATACCAATACATACATATAAAGCTTACTAGCATACAAACAAATAGACAGTCAATTTTTTTTAAATAGCTGTTTTCTTATAAGTAGGTACTCTATATATTATATACTTTTATATGCATTTAGTAAAAAGCTTTTATTTTGATATGACAAACAGACACTTTAATTTTATTTATTTGTATGGATGTAAAAAAATATCATTCCAGTTCTAGTTACGTATTCGAATATGTTATACAAATTGCAGTTCGTCAGACTCAATTATTGTTACGAGGTTTAGGAAATTCTAATCTTGAAGTTGGTGTGTTCGGCGACCGGCACCCGCATTGCATATCGTCTGATTAATATCGCCCCTAGCCATGACGTACGGTTTCTGACAAGTTTCGAGTACAACCACATGAACATCTACATTTTATTCATATTACTAGCATTGCCCGCGGCTCCGCCCGCGTTCAGATGACCAAAAAACCAATTCTTAGGTTTTACATGTTAGTATATTCTTACATTGCAGTTTTTGTATTTTTTCTCAGAAATTAGATATTATCCCAGGGTAAAAAGTATCCTATATGTTGACCCGGACAACCAGCCATCACCATACCAAATTTCATCAAAATCTCCAGTGGTTTTTTGTGATGCTGTAACAGACAGACAGACAGACAGATAAACAGACAGATAGACAGACAGATAGACAAATAATAATGTTTATTTCAATAAGATTTTCCAAAAAATATTTAGTGTACAGATTCGGCTTAGTTACAATTTTATTATAAGTATAGATTAACCTAGTACATATTTAAATATAATTTTAAAATTTCACAATATACTTGTCTATTGAAAATGAATATTTTTGCTACGATTGCGGTGGTATTTATTCGACCAGGGTTTTTTAAGAAAATGGTATTTTTTTTATTAAACGTTTATTTTATATAACTTTATTTGCATTGTACATATTTTTTTTTATAAGTTTACTTTGATAGAATCTCATCGTCTTTCCAACGTTTGTTATCGTTTGTCTGCCACTCACTCGGAACACTTTTTACAGCAGAGATTACTTTCAATCCGTTTTCAGCCACCAGCAAAGTTCGGCATATTTAATAACTTCTGTTATCAACTCCACTGTCTCGAAAACTCGAAGACATTCAATTACTCTAGCTTAGATTACATTTTTCAGTCGTTTACTTCGTACGAGTTCTTTTTCATGTCAAATTCCATAACGCTATCTATTCACAGCGGGATTGCCTACAAAGTCAATAGGGAACGAAAGTAAAACAAACTGGTTTTGGAATTCAACGCAAATATAATACAACTGAAAGGTGATGCAGCGCGAGTGCCTATTTCAGGCTTTCATATGTTTTTGTTTGCTCGCACATAGCATCACGTGACGCGCGAGCACGTACGCGGAGCCGACACTGAATACTAATAGATAGAATTGAGAGCAGGCGCATCACAGGTCGCGTCCGAAAATTGGATTCGCATCGCATACACTGCACACAGTATTAGGACTCTGGAAACAATGCCCAATCAAACGGGGTAGGCCTCTGTTCGACTGCGTTCTACGTGCTTGATACACGCATAATGTGAATTATGACCTATTCTAATTTAAATGATGAAATTATAACAATTTTAAAAAATATTTTTAATATTTAAATTGGTTTAAAATCATGATGATAGAGTAGTTTTGGCACAAACCATTGATTTGTAACTTCTATCCATACTAATTAATCATCGATCAAAAAAATCGATGCCACTTATACATACCTATAGCACCAACGAAAAGTAAAGCAAAGAGTGATATTCGATCAACTCGTCTTATACATACATTTATTATCTTTATTATTAAGTATATAAGTTTATATTATATTTTATAATAATTTTATTTTATTTCTTAGTTTTACGCTACTAAGAATGTGAATTATAATATACGGAATACAACTTACGCTTTTGAACGGGGACTATCCCGGTCTTGGTTAAGGCATTGCAATCGAGTTCTTTATGAACATACTACATAGAGCAAGGGGTCATGCTCTGTGAGACAAGAAGTATTGATATTTGCGGAAAGAATCTTATTAGACACTTTTATAATGTAAACAAAAAAAGATGCATACTTTGGCTTTTTTTTTCAAAAAGAATAAAATAATAATATGTCATCTGCCTTTTAAAAAAGCTGTGTTGCCCTTTTAATTTCCTTATTATTACCTTTATTTCTAGTATATATTTAGTATATTTTTTGCACTATATTGCCCGCTGACATCTTCTTCCACAACCAGGGGTTGACTGGAAGAGAATCTCTTTTAGAGATAAGTCCACCTTTGTGAACTATGTTTACTTTGTTATTTTTTTTTCTGTATCATATTTTAAGTGCAATAAAGAATATGATAATAATAATAATTTTCTATAAATAAAATAAAAAGTATTTTTTTAAATGATATTGCAGTAACATTTATTTTTGCGAAGGCTGGCACCGACTTAGAAAATATCTCATTATCTAGAGTAAATGAAAACTCAGGGGTTTTCAGTTATTTTTTACGTTTTAATGAGTGGAAGTTGGTTTTTGTTTATTATATAAATATATTATATATTATTTATTATATTATATAATATATTATAAGTGTATTTTTTGTAATTTATTAAAATACATTTTTAACAAAATATTTTCAGCTTTTGTATTACGCTACATCTGTACAAAACGTAGCAATTTACAACGCAACAAATTTCAACTAGGATATATTTTTCGGTTTAAAATTTTAAATGAAATACACACATGTTTTTGACTCAATATCATTCCGATTGGTTAATAATTTGCAAAATGTCTGTAGACTCTCGTATCGCTTCGAAGCTCTTAAGCTTGGCAAAGTGGAGGCCGAACGACAATGGAGGCGGCCGGTGTGGATTACTCCCCCTTAGGTGTTCCTCTACAAATGGGGATTTAATTTGCCGTATCCGTAAATACAATAGACCAAAATTTGTGCTTCCACCTCCTGTCCGCTTGAACGAATAAGGGTCAGGCTAATAACAAGAGTTTCAGTGGACTGAATTTTCTGAGTGTTATGAATTATGAATCTATGATAAGTATGTGGACTG